AATGAGTTTTTTAATGTGTATAGAGTTTCAGCTTTGCAAGCTGCAAAGAGTTCTGGAGACTGTACAACAAACGAATATACATTGTGAATAACAGTACTGAACTCTATACTTAAAAACAGCTAACATGGTAAATTTATGTTCTGTACATTTTGCCATAATTATAAATAATTAAAAACAATATGAGTTTCTGGGTCCCACTCCTGACTTGATGGGCCAGAACCCAAGGCTGAGCCTGGGGAATCAGTATTTTTCACAAGGACCCACATTCATTCTGATGTGCATTATAGTTTGAAATCTGCTGCCCTAGGAATAAACCACCTACCTTCTGGATGTAGTAGACCAGCATGTTCATTCATTTTAGTCTAGCATTCCCGATCAAGGGTAATACTCCCAGCTGAGGAATTAATTCCCAAGTCACTAAAGTCACTAGAGAATAGTCCAACTTATATGGAAATTATTTATATGGCAATTTAATTCCAAAGAGGACTTAGTTATTTACTAATCCCTATGATCATTGTTCCCCAAAGAGTGGGGCAAATTATAGGTATTATCCATCTACAACTCATCGAGAAACTGAGGCAAAAGGAGATCAATTGTCCAGAAAAGACCAAATTTGAGGAAGATGTAATATCTTTTGATAAACATTTCCTAATCACTACGTTGTGTTTACTACAAAAGAAATTCAAAGATGAATTCCCCTCTCCCAGAGTTCAGAGATCAGTCCTGACGCCCCCATAACCTATGGAGATCAGAAACTTCCTCTTGTCAGCTGATCTCACCCCACCACACCCCGCCCGACTTATGAGTCCAAGGCCAGCTTATTTAGCCCTCTCTTCCCTCAGTTCCTAACTCTATGAACACTATTTTTAAATATTATGCAGTTTACCAATGTTTATAATCAATATTTTAACAGAGACTGGCAGTAACTAAATTTGGTAAAAGAAATGTGAATCCAATTTTGAGACAGATGAAGGATAAACAGATGTACTTGACAATTTTTTTGGAACCCAAATCAAAATCAAACCTTACATTAACTTCAGGTCCTACCAGATGAGTCTCCATTTTATTTGACGAAAGAGCAGACAGATACCTTAGGTAACAGATGAATATTCACATCTCAAAGAACTAAAATAAAAACTTTAAATCTTACACAAGAAAAATTGTTTCCAAAATACTATTTATTCAATAAGAACATGAGATGATGAGTGCTGTACACAAAATATTTTGAAACACAGAAGTCCTCAGATTTTGAGGAAAATGACTTAAGATCACATGAATTGCCAATCTGGGGTATATGCTATCAAGTATATCCAAAACAGTATTTTTTACATGGCTTCAAAGAAAACCTATTGCTGCACATATAATTAAATTAAATTTTAGTGTTACCACGAACACAAAAAGCCTAGTTTACTCTGAAATAAAACTAAAATTTAACATGTGTTAATATTTGTGCCATAAAGAGTGCCAAGAACATACCTTTTTGTCAAAAAAAATTAACTTCTAACTGTTCAAAATGGCTCCTGGAGGCTTTTCTCTTTTTTTCAGCATTTCTCATGAACTCTAGAATATCGATCTCAAAGTTTCCATTTTGAGAAACTGTAGTAACAAAGCATTTGTTTAAAAAGCCTCGCAAGGATACCATCAAACTTACTATGAGATGATATTAAATTGACTAATTTCAGGACTCATTCATCAAAAATGAGAATTTACTTAAAACAATTCATTGAGGATTTAAGTAATTTAGGTTACAAACTCTCCTAATATTCATGAATGAAATTCAACCTGCCATTAGCAAGTCTGTTTCATGGGCCACTAAACTCTCAATAAAGTCTATAATGATAACCTAATTAGTGTCACATCTGCACATGTCACTTCAATGCAGTGACTCCAGACAATTGTTATCACCACTTAGATGAAGAAAGTCGTTAAGAACTCAGAAAGAGGTAAAAGGGTTTGAAAACAAAAATATCTAAATTGACCAGTGCACCCTTCTGTAGGAAGCAAACTTAACTTTTTGATGTAGAGCTCTCATGAAAATATTGCCCATTGATCAGTGTATTGCTAGACATTATGCTGACTTGGTTTCTTGTCTCTGACGGGTCCCTTTTGCTTGACACTGGCAACTTTCCTGGCTTTACTTTTTTGAATCAGAGGAGCTTACGCTAACTTTGATTTTAAAAGAGCCTATTTGTTTTTAAAGTCTGAAGAGATAAAACTAATGATTCTAATGGTTGGAGTGCACACACAGGGCCCACACAAATACCTATTTCATATGCAGATTTTATTCAAGTTCCTGGATTGTGACAAAAACTGTACTATTTATGTTTTTATGGGTTTGAGGTTCACATGAACATAGCCTTTTTAAGAAAATTAACATTAAGTAGTTTGAATTATGTAAGGTTTATAAGTTATTTAATGGATTGAAACAGTATTTGCCACAAGTGATTGGTTTTCAGAGTGAATTATTACAATCCAACAAAAAACTCATACAAAACAATTGTCTTCTACCATCTATTTTGAAGGAAACCTATTTTATGATTTCCATTAATGTGTAATTTTAAAATCTCATTTTTTCCTCAAAAATCTTCAATTTGCTATATTTATGACATTATAAAATAATTTCTCAGTTAAAACTAGAAACTATGACAGTCTGAAATTTAATAACAATTTTTCATTTCATAGACAAAGCACAAGTTTTTATTTTAATAACGCCAAGATATGAAACCTATTTTTACATATTATTGGAAAGAAGCACAAATGTTTGAAAGTCCATATTCACTAGTCTTCAACACAAATTTTACAAAACAGTACACCTACTGCATACAAGAACAGATAAACATGAGACAATCTAGACGTCGACTAACTGGTAAAAGGATAGACTGTGGTATTCATACAATGGAATATTATATATATAGTAATAAAAAAATTAATGAACTGTGGCTCCACTCATCGGCATGGATGGATTTTTAAAGTTCTTGAGCAAAATATAAAGTCATGGAAAAATATAGTGTGACTCCTCTTACCTAAGATTCAAAAAGAAGCAAAACTAAGCAATGAAAAATTATAAAAACAAACGAGGATGATGAAAATTTAGGATAGTGGTTACCTCGGGGGGAGAGAGAAGTGCACGTAATCAAAGAGGAGACCGTGTGGCTATCAGAGGTGTGAGTAACGTTCTACTCTTCGAGCAAGGTGGTGAGTACGTGGGTACTTGTTCTATTACTCCTCCTTAAACTGTACATATACTTTATGTATACGGAGAAAATGCGAGGCAAGAAAATGGTGACTGTATAGACAACTCTTTTTGAAGACCACTGATCTTGCATGTAAAGGAATAAAAGATGGGAAGAAATGTGAATGTTTTCAGAGATTTTGTTTTGCTCTTGTTGAGGTATGAAGAGAGCATATGAATGACAGAAAGGTTCCATCAGAGGGGAGAGGCTGAAGAACCAGCAGGGATGACTGATGAGGGGCGGCACACGGGAAGGTTTGCCTCTGACAGGAGGAGGAGCGGTCTCGTTCAGGCAGCGGGCGGTAGGGAAAGCTAAGAACAGGCACAGATTTATACAGTTGATGATGGGAAACGGAAGTACATCAGATATGGTGGCTCGCTCCTCTTGAATGAGGCTCCAAGGGGAAGGGCAGAGCTGGCTTTGAGAAGAAATGAAGGCATCAAGTGACAGCTTGGGGCAGTCAGAGAAACAACTGACCACAGACAAGTAAATGCAGGGGCTGTCCTCGGCATTTCACCTTACGTGTTTCCCTGGCCTCTGTCTAGAATATATTTCCCCTTCCTTTTCACCTAGAAAATCTTCCCATCCTTCAAGACTCACCTCACGTTCTACGTCTGTGAAACCTGTTCTGACTATTCCACCACAATCCTTTCCTTTTAATCCTTACAGCGCTTAACTCTATCACTCGTTTTTTACTTACTCATAAACTATCTTGCAGTCACTCTTTTGTGTTGTACATGGCTTCATTTTTCTGGGTGGTCTTCCTAGCTACAGTTCTTGATGATAGAAATCATGTCTTTTTTTTTTTTTTTTTTTAGCACTGTTGCTCCCCCTTTCAGAAGAATAGTGCATTCTCATACAGTGAACACTTAGCTGTTCGTTGTTCTATTTTTTAAATATGTCATCTACTTAAACAGATATTCTTAAAAGCAAAGGAAAAAAATAAGAATATGTGAATAACTGAACTTTGAATCCTCCATTATTTTCTTGTCCCTGCTTCTGGTTTTCAATTTTTGGTTTTAGAACTTACTTGATAGAAGCCAGGCCAGACATCCAATGTTAACACAAAATTGGTTTGATTTTTAGTATTTTTTAAACAAATTGTTTCTACTCATTAAACTATTAAATCTTTTTCTTTACAACTTTTAATATGTTTCTTCATGGAGGTAGTTCTCTTAGAAAATGAGGCAGAATATTATCAGCAAAGACAAATTATGTCAGGAATGCCATCTTGTGGTTGAGAGTAGTCCATTACACTACTGATCCTTTCAGTAACAATCTTTAATTCAGAAATAAAATATCCAGTAAATTCACAAATGTAAGTCATGGTTAAAATTATTGTTACTACAAAAAAAGAAAAGCTAGATATGTGTGTTTTCAATTGTGTGTGACTTCAGTTGCCAAAAAAGACAATGTTCATCGAAGAGAGAGACAACAGATGAATTATATAGGAATGGACTCTAAATAATACAGAAACACTGCTACCTACAACTATAAATATATTCTATTAAGACTATTGAAATACTCTGAATTTTGGAAAACTTTTCTCATGAAATAAATGATTTTACTTCTATATCCACTACTAACTAGTTATGTTATTACATCCTAGATTTAAATCATGTGTCTTGATTTTCAAAATATATCACCCTAACTATAACCATCCAAAGGGGACTGAAGGACGGAGCACTTATCTAATTTGGATGGTATAGGATACATAGAATTAGTTGTAGTCCAAAATGGGACTTGGAAGAGAGGTAAAAACCCTGGCCCTATCTTAACAGATGAACTTACTACTTCTTCCATACAAGTTAGTCATTTCAATGATAAATTCTTTCTAGTCAATAGAAAGCTAGTAATTGTTACAGATATGTTACTTAACAACTACGCTTAAATATTCTAATTGCCAAGTTGAATACCAGACATTCTGATCCACTTAAAAGTGGGGATGAGGGCGTAGAAACTGATATATCCCTCACGAGTGCAAAGCACAGCACAACACAAAGGTCCATGCACTATGCTACCCTTTTGTCACTTCCAGATTATAAGGTTTTAAGGAGCATGTGCAGGTACAATGTTCAGTTATAGAGATCAGGTTATTTGAAATTCCAAAAGATAATAGATCTACATGTAGCTATATTTACCAAAAAAAGGAAAATGCTATTGTACTCCAAATCAATGTCTGGGATTTATTATGGCATGCTTATCACCAGAAAAAAAGTTTTACTCAAAAATTTTTTATACGAATTGATTTTGTATTAGTTTTTCCACGTGATTCTTCATGACATTCACATCAGCTGCACAAACCTGGTACTCCATCTTCTCTTGCTGTTTCGTTCTCTCTAATAAGGCTTCGTGCGGTGGAGGCAATGCATTGTAGGAACTCAGCAAGTAAAGCTGACTTGAGGAGGTATGGTTGATTTCTTTAATCTTTAAAGCCTGCATGATAGCAGGTGCAAACTTCGAGTAATGAGCCGTAGATGAGACAATCACTGGGCAAGTTTTGTCTTGCATTCTGTCTGCAACCACTTTTGCAACAGCAGTGTGTGGATCCAGAATATACCCCGAAGTACTGTAGGTGGAATGAATAGCTGCCAGACACTCTCCCTCGGAGCACCAGTCGGCTACAAAATCCTGCTGGAGTTTCTCAACTAGCATCTTCTCTATCTGGAAGTGATGCTGCTCTTCTAGTTGATTAAACAATTTTGTCATTAATTTTCCGTTTTTACCAGCCATCAAGTGTAAATGTCGTTCCAGGTTTGAAGCTTTAAGAATATCGATTGCTGGTGAAAAGGTTTGTGCTAATTTTCTTTCCCTTAGGTCATAGTGTCCTGTTTTTATAAAATCAGTCAAAACATGGTTCTGATTAGAGGCACAAATAAATTTGCGAATAGGGATTCCCATCATTTTGGCATACACTGCTGCTAAAATGTTACCAAAGTTTCCTGTGGGAATACAGACATCCACTGGGCTTCCAAAAGAAATAAATCCTTGGCTAACAAGATCAAGATATGCAGAAGCATGATAAACTACTTGGGGAAGCAGTCGGCCCCAGTTTATGGAATTAGCTGAACTTAAGACCGTTCCATATTCCATAATAAGAAAGCCAGCAAAATCAGAATCTCTGAAAATGCCTTTTACAGCTGTCTGGCAAAAATCAAAATCTGACTTGACACCCACTGCCCATCCATTTTCTTTCTGACTGCCAATTATTTGTGCTTTTTGAAAATCACTTACTCCGTTCTCAGGAAAAAACGTGGCCACAGCTATTCTTTGCTTATCATTCTTATTAATACGGCTAAAACCATTTAAGACTGCACTCCCTGTGTCTCCTGAAGTAGCTACAAGTATCATATAATTGCAACTTGGTGGAATACAGTGTGCAAAAAGATGAGGCATAAGCTGTAAAGACAAATCTTTAAATGATCCCGTTGGTCCGTGAAACAACTCCAGGATGAACTGGTTGCCTGAGAGATGCCGGACAGGGGCAATTTTGGAGCAGGCAAAGTTTTCCCCATAAGCAGTCTCAATCATTTCTCCCAATCTGGCAGCAGGTACATCAGCTGGATGTATACACTTTTCCAGCAGGATTTGTGCCCTTTCTATGTAGGTTGCTCCTACGAGGCTTTTCCACTCCCTACAGTTTAATTTTGGAAACTCTTTCTCAGGAACGAAGAGTCCACCATCAGAAGCTAACCCCTCAATCACTGCTTCGCTAAAGAATTTTGTTGAAACCTTCCGTTCGTCTTTAGGCCAAATGTGTCTTGTTGAAACGAACGTTTCTGAGTCCACATCTTGGTACCGTTTGACTGCACTGAGCACTTTGTCAGCAACCTCCTCTGGGGAAGCCCCACTTTCACAGAAAACACGGGTATCATACCACTTCTTATAATACTGTCTTCTAAACTTAAGTAAGTCTTTCATAGATGTTCCAGCATCCTGACCTACGATCCTATCAATTTTCATTAATTTTAAGCGGCTGACTATATCTATTAGAGGTACATCCAGGTATACAATTATCCCATTTTTCTTCAGATGCCACATGCTAGCATCATGCATTGGATTGGACCCCGTAAGGGAAATCACACTTCCAGATGTAGAGAAGTTTAACATGGCTTTTCCTTCCTCTTCTAAAAATTGCTCATTACCAACATCCTGTAATTTTTCAGACACACTCATATTCCAGGTTTTTTCAAGGATATCATCGTCCACATCTATGACACAACAACCTAGTTTCTGACCTATTATTCTGCCTACTGTTGTTTTCCCAGCACCAGGCGGTCCCATCAGGATAATATTTTTGTCTCCAACAAGAGAGTGGGTTGAGTGCCATGACTTCCTGAATTCTGCAAGTGCAAGGGTTCTTGAAAGAAACAGCTGCACATGTTTATCCGTTCTAACATGTATACTGGGAAAACATTTCTGGGCTATTTGTTTCAGATGCGGACATCGGTTAAAGTGGAGCATTCTCTTTTCACTTTTCTGCCCAAGTCAACCTAAAAACTGGCTTTAGCCCTTTTCAAAACATAAAAACAAAAAAGACATTTGGTTACTAATTTCAACAAACTCAAAATCCCAAAGAGGACTGAAAATAACCATGTCCACGGTACCTAAACTGTTTAGAAATCTTTCAAATGTATGGGACATTTTTTAAAGTACTCAAACCCAAATTCTCATATATTACATATTATCCTTTAAATAATCTTTTCAGTCTCAAGCCCGAGTGATCAAAACTTTAAAAATTTGTACCTATAGGCAATACTTTATTCAGAAAATGCCATATCATAGATGCTTTAAAAAAAAAACCATACTAAATCAGATTAGTATTTCTTTTCCTGTAATGAAAACTGTTTCTTGGTTTATAACCCATATAAAAAAGGATTATTTGGAATGCTATTTACTTGCAATTCATAAAAGCTGAATATTCTTTAAATTTAATTTCTAACTTTAGTTACACTAACATGCTGATAGACTATCATGCTCCTCATAAATGTCTCATAAAATTCACAACAGGGAAGTAGAATATTTGCTTACAAAATGCTTAAATAACTTTCCAAACTGTAGGACAAAAGTATGGCATTTTCTTTCTTATGTGCCTTTTATATGCATATCGTAAAGAATCATCCTCAGATATTTTTCATATTGAAGGCCTTTTAAAAAAAGCTAAAATGAAAGGTATAATATTATGCAAATAGTTAAGAAAAATTGGTAACAGCAAAGTCAAAGGCTACATATCTATAACCTTATCTGCATGAAACCGTCACTTTTGTTTCTGTCCTCTAAACATTATCAGTGGAGACACTTAACTCAAATTCCAAACTCTACAGTGATAGCAATAAAAACAAACAAACAAACAAAAAACTTAGGAATGTTTCCAATGATGAGAGGAAATAATTACTCTGGCATCCAAAGAACCTCTGCAATTCCCCATATTGCTCAAATCCCTGTATTTGGAAATGTACTCAACATTAAAACACAAATGTATGCCAGACAAGTCAAATTCTTAGTCATCCGTAAAATGCAATTTAGTAACTGTTGCAGTGTTCATTCAAATTGACTAAAGGAACTCCACAGACATCTAGTAGGGCTTTTCACATTTTCTGCAACTAAGCCATATTAAATATCAGATGGTATGTTCAAATATGTTCTGAAAACTTTTAATCATTTACTACTTTGATTATCTGTGCTACTATGTTCTGTAATTAAACATTTAAACCATTTTAAAACTAACACTGAATTTAACTTACAAGTTAAATTAGAACTGTCAAGAGAAGGAATACATTTCCTTATTTGGCTTTTCGGCTTGTATGTGCTGTCCTTAATTCCCACTGACTTGTAAACCATATGACACACAGGAACCAATCTCAGATGAAGAGTTTGTTGATGCTGAGGCAAAGTCAATCTTTGCAAAAAACAGAGTCTATAACAGAAAAATTTTCAAGTTAATCATCACTGAGTACAATGTTACAAAATCCCACACATAGACTGGTCTATTATTAAAATATCCACCTGAAAAATTTAAAGTCCAGAAAAAGAATGAATTGACCCTTTTCGTGTTTCCCCAAATCTATTATTAAAAGATTAAGATACTGTTTTTTTTAACATCTGTGTCTTATAAAGGAAAAGAAATTTCATTAAACAGTACTGAAGGAATTTCTTCCACCAAGCAATATGAAAGACAGTAATATAACCAGATAAGAACAAATACAAAATCTCTCACAATGACACCTGAAATTTTAATTACTTAACTGGATGTTTAGTGATGAGAGAAAAATTTAAATCAGTGGACTAAAGCTATGAAATGAGTGCTTGAATTACCCTTGTGGGTTGTTTTATCCATCTGAATCACTACATGATTTGTATGTAATAATACCTAGTGTAAAAAGCGCAAATATAGTGTCTGCTACTAATTGAGTTTATAATAAATTCAAAACACGTATCATAGTGGCTGGCACATAAGAATATTCTCATATATAGTAATATTATTATCACTCAATGGCAATGGACCAAAAACATATAAATTGAATCAGAATATCTAGACTCAAGGCTAGGTCTATTTTTTCATGGTTTGTTTATAAGCCTTCAGAGAAAATGTGGGTACTTAGCCATGAATCAAGAATTGTTTTGCTATACACAATCTAAGTCTTTCCCTGCCATGAACCCAGGATCAGAGAAGTATACACTTGAACCATTATTGGTAATGTCTTTTATTAAACTGTATTCTAGTATAGTACTTTAGCACCAGCTAGTTTTCTTGGAGGAAGGGGAACACTTTCTAAAACCATCTGCTTCACCTGCTATTCAGGAGTGTGTTCTTTTTTAGTTCCCAATGTGTAACTTTCTGATGTCTGTATTAGCAGTAATTGTAGTATTACCTGAGTAGCTGGTTGGTTTTTCTGGACATTAAATCTTTTAACTGATCTTTTTCACTTTGTGTTGGTTGCTACAATGCTTACCATTAACTCCACTACAAGTAGAAGACTGTAACACAAACATTATGCATTGTTTGCCTTATCTTTTATAACCTTAGTTTTCCTTTATTTTATATGAATTAAAAATAGAAAATTATGACAGCTTAATTTAATTTAGTATATTATTTGACAATAAAAAACTTCCTGAAAATAGCAGAAGGCAGTTTTCAAGGGCTATAATATGTAAGAAATATTATCATTTTTAAAGAAAAATAAGATGAATTCTATTTTAAGTAACATACTAAATTTTGTTTTGTAGCATTTTATCCACAAATTAATTTTAGGGCTTCAACACCCATTGTAAGAAAACCAAAAGACAAGATGGAATAATATCTACAGTATGTAACTTTCATCTGGAAACTAAGTCTTTACTTAAGAGGTAATAAATGATAATTTATTATTTATCTAAAATAAATTTATTTATTATAATTTATATAATAAATAAATAATGATTTAGCATTATTCATGGTATTATGTTCTATAAAGTCATCATTCTTGAGTATTGAATTAGTGAACAGTGAATAGTCCCATTGCTCCTAGGGGAAATACAGGGTTAGGTTTCTGTGAGCCTCAAGTCACATTTTTGCCAACTGATCAATACATAGGCTTGTTTTGTGTTTCTGCTTAAAGTCATTTTATGTATTTTTTATATTTTTAATATATAATTTATACATATATATATGTAGTTGACTCATTACCGCTGTACAGCCAACAGCACTCTAACTTAAGCCTGAATGAAGCTTATCTAACACACATTTTATCTGTAAGGCACATTATAGCCTAATTACCTTAGGAACACTAGGCAGCACGTCAGCAACCTCAGGGCCATTTTAAACGGCAAAACCACCAACTAGAGGTACAAAAATGTGAAAAATGTGGCACTAACTAGAATGGGAGAAGGATATTTTTGTTTACAGTATTTGAGCTCAAACAGCAAGGCAGAGCATCATCTTGCTTGACCACAGCTTGGAGCACGTACATCAGGAGACTCAAATTTTTCACCACTGTGCATGTGTCCATGAATGAATGCACAAGTTTGGCAAGTATTAATTTGGGCTTATAAATAAATTTTAGTGAGTAGAATTCACAAATATGGAACCTGTGAAAAGGGAGGATCAACTGCATATCATTTTCCTTTACGATTCAAAGCCATGTTGTTATGCTTTTTCAATTATTTTATATTTTAGTATGTATTTCAGTCTAGTGGTCATGAATAGGCAATTTTTCTTCAGCCAAAGGACAAAACTTTTTCAAATTAAATGGAAGTCAAGGAGTCAAAAAAGAAAAGCTGTACTTAAAGACCAAATCTCTTGGCCATAAAGTACTCAGGTTTTACTGTATCAATGTTCTAAAGTGTTTTTTGTAGAGCCAGGTTCTTCATGAAAACATTTTAGTCATACTCTCTAATTCCTCACAGGATGGAAGATCTCCACAACTCCATTATACATTAATACTTTTTAAATAGGTTTTCCTACTGATCACTTATAATGGGGTTTTTTGATCCACGAACTCCACTGGATACTTTTTAGATGTAATAGACACTTGTCCTTCAAACAGACAAATGAAAAGCCTGTTGGTTTCACAGCAAGAACTTTAAAAAACAAAAACAGAAATGTCCACACGTACAAAATAATTCAAGTACTCTTTGATTTCAAAGCACAAAATTTAACAATTTTACTTTGGCAAGCTGATCAAAACTGAATAGTGAATTCAAGGAAAAAAATGTAAAGAAATCACTTTTTAAATCACTTTTAAATTATTTCCTATGAATGCTAATAAACTTACATTTTTAAACCAGAAATTCATACTAATTTTCAGCAACCTATTTAGTGATGTTTTCCTAAGGACACCACTAGATGATTGCTAATCAACTAAAGTCATACCTGTTATCAATTTTTACTTCCAAAATGGTCTAGAAGAATTTTTTCAATTCCATTATAAAATTACCTAGTTTCTAATTCCTCTGGGAAATTATCCAAATCCTATTTAGTCAGGATGATTTAGCATTTGTCACCCATTTAAAGTATTTGTTTCATACTATTCCAAAATAAAACATAAGTCATAGCACTTTAAAAATTATTTCATGATGAGAACTGGCTGCGGTCCAGTGAACTTCTGAAAACATTTATGCCATGATTATGCTTGTCACCCTATATTAATGCAATCTAAATTTCTCAGAAGAATGACTAAATCTAGTCCATTATCTTATGAAGGCAACCTGATTTTTTTTTCTCAAAAATGACTATTTTTACAGCAATAAATTGTTTTCCAATACATAATAAAAATGCAAATTCCTAGGACATAAACTAGCCGGGGGGGAGGTAAAGTTCTGCTGCTCTGGACTGTTAAGCAAAAATCCTCCCAACACGCCTTTAGGTCAGTCAGCAATTACTTCCCTGGAAATAGCAAGACGGAAAGACCACACACTCCAGTGTCAAGTTGTAAGCAGAGGGATCTTAAAAGTAGAATTTACAAGTTCATCACTCATCTTTGCCCCTATCTTAGTACCAAAGCTGATTAAGCCTTTCCTGTTGCTAGCCTTTTGCTGTTAGATACCCTCATGGTCTTGAATATTTAATTCAAAAGACTTTTTAAGTACCCTTTTTAATTCTATAATTTAAAAATATATTATTATAAAGAATATCTCTTATACAGGGTTATTTTTCTTCCTAGAAAATTGTCTTTTTTATATTCCCACCTAACCTCATTTTATTCATCTAAGTAAATTAGAATTAATCTTTAGCAAAAAAACTCTAACTTGTATGTACAAACCACTTATAGCAGGGGTCTGTGCAAAACTATAACCCACAGGCCAAATCTGTGCAAAATTACAACCACGCTTTTTGTAAATTAAGTTTCATGGGAACACAACTGTGCTTATTTATTTGTTCATCTGTTTTGTATTGTCTTTGGCTGCTCTTGAGCCACAACAGTAGAGTTGAGCAGTTTTGACCAAAACCATTTGGCCTGCAAAGGCCTAAAATATTTATTATCTAGCCCTTTGCAGAAAAAGTTCATGACTAATACTAATTTCCTGTGGGCATAGTGGACATAGACATTTCCTTGAACAGTACTAACATTTTGAGGTAATTATAAAAATTAGAAATATATTCTTTGTAAACATGCTTTCAAAAGGCAAGCAGAATTATAGAAGAAGTATCTAAGGAAAAAAGTTCCTTTCTAAATGATTTAACAACTTCATCATGACTGTAAACTAAATATACTATAGTGAGGAGATCATAAATTGGTATTTTTAAAGCCACAATAAATATATTGATACCAGTGAAATTACTGTATTCAGTAACAGAAAGTCAAGACTAGCTAAGGTTGGTTGGGACTTATTAATTGGAGAAATCACGCTTTGCCCTTTGGCTCTTTTCGGAACTGTTTAATATGAAGCGTCCCAAAGTGTTTCTTCTTCATTAGAAAATGTATAAGCTTTGGCCAATGACCATCCACTTGGTTAATGGCAATATCAGTATAAGTCCTTAGTTCAAATCTTGCCATGTATAAAGAGAATTTTTCTCTATACATGCTAAGCAAAAACAAACAAAATATCCCCCCAAACCCAAAACATAAAATAGTCAAAGGCGAAAGGAAACCGACAAAGTGGTATATACATAAAAAATGTTTTGAAAAGTAGACGATCTGATGTGAAGAACAGGAGCATCATCTCCAACATGCCACTCCTCTGAAATAAAATGCTCCACTCCTGGGATAAAAATAAAAAATCTGATCAATTGGATAAGAAAAAACTAAATTTATTCTTATCTAATGAAATTCGCTAAGAGCCCCAAATGAGAAGGACCCACACATTCTGCAGAGCCTTTTAAGTCGGAACTAAAAGGTTAATGAAGCCATCATGCTGTTTTTCTCTCTCCACCGAGCACCCTGGCAGTGAGATGACCAAAACTGGTGTTGGTTCTTATCTTTGACCATCTCTATTCCCTG